TAGTGTCTTTGAACAATGTTCTTTAAATATTTGCTACTTCACACAAAAATGTCTCCCTATAAAGCATATATTGATACTTCCATTATCGATTCCCTGTCATTCTCAAATATTTAACTCGATAGAAAGCTTTAAACGCGTGGCAGACATGATCGAGTTTACAAAACGTGCATACCGCACCGTCTCGATAAAGGGGACATTTTATCATCATTTATGTGGAGAATACCGATTCTATCTCGTAATACGTTTCTGACATTTCCGAATAAAAACTCGTTTTCGTATCGCACTGCTGTATTTGTATGAATCGTTTCAGTTATTTTATACTTGCGTTACATATTTTCCATAGACTTCCACTAAGCAATGTTTAATTTTTAATTACATTCGCTACGTCATCATTTACAAAGCAATTTATTATTACAAAGCAATTCTTAAACACAGAATAATCAAGACAGAATAATAATATTATTGATTAAAACAAAAATTTACAGCTTATTAATTGTAAAAAGCATGGTAACAATATCTGTGTCAATTAAAATATTCAGAAAGTGTAGATGAATGTTGTTCAAGATACGTTTTGTTCCATTTTTTTCACCTGGAAACTTTTGCGATTTTCATCCAGGATGAAAGCAAAGAGATTTTATTTTATCTGAAGGATGGCTCTATTTCATTTTTTTTTTTACATCCCATTTCCTTCAGCTAACTGTTACTGACCGTCAGCTTGTTCATAGATGAGCTTGCGAAACGATGCCGGATGAGTTTTCCTTCCGACGAGTTTTGGGGTCGGATTTTATTAAGGTACTTTATATTTCGCGTGGTTTGCGTCGCGATCTGCGATGCAAGGAAACGAGACCTTCAATTTGCGCAAGCACTACTTCGCTGAGTCCTCTGCAAGTTTTTTCTGCGAATAAACTTTGCTCGTTTTTACGAGGCCGCAATCACGGCGATATCTCGCGATATCCCAGGAGTTATTATTACCTTCGAGCAAACATCTTAAAACATTTCTCGCCATTACAAGGATTTTTACACCACGTGGCATATTGTATATAATTTAAAAGCAATTTTTGTGAAATCAAAATGCTTCTTATGAAACATTTATAAAATTATGATGCATTCAATATCGAAAATATTTTATTCTGGAAAATAAATTTCTCAAGCCTTTTCATTTTATTACAATATAATTTGAGATTAACATATTAGATAGAAATATTATTAGTAGAATAAGTCATTAAAATTTGATTGCTCTATTTCATTTCGTAATAATTGTAAGATTAGAAAGTTAAGTTCTCTCTCATTGCTGTTAGAACATTGGAAGAAAATTTTAAGAGTTGAGGATATATTTTGATGCTATATTAGTAATATCATTATTTGGATTAATAATATCATTATTTGGATTAATCATATCATTATTATTGGATTTAACAATACATTAGTATCTCTTTTCTAATAAGAATTTAGAATCAATATTCAATGCTTCAAGTACAGCAACAATCGTAGTTGATGAAAGTATATTTATGCTGTACAATTATTATGAACTAAAAATGTAATGCTTGCGTATGCACGTTCACATAAATTTTTGAAATATGTAATCCATTTCTTGCTTCCTATCTATGTACTAGTTTCTGGTTACGATGCTTCGAATTACACACGCGTGTCGCGTTGCGTAAAATTAAATTCAGGAGCGAATATGATATTGCGGGATATCTATTGCACGTTCATAATTTCAATGTTAACGTGATGCTCGCACGAGTAATTCATTTTATTCGCATAACGCTAGTAAGTCATACCACGCAATTGTTAGATAATAAATATGAAGAATATAGAAAAAAATAAGAAAATTTGCTTCAATTTTTTTAATATTGTATAATTGTATAATTTTAAATCATTTAAATCCCTTCATTTTTCTCTTAAAAATGTAGCAATGTAGCAATAGAAAGTATAAACACATTTCTTACGTACAAAATGAATTTTATTTTCCGTTTTGATCTTCAAAACAACATTCGCTCTATGGTCGCATAACACGAACCATTTTCCGCTCAGCTCTCGCAATCGACATTATTAACGCACAATGGATGTTGAAACAGGAAATGTCAAAGCTGTCGTATTAATGACGTTTTGCCGACCGATAATACAAGCTATAATGTGACGTTAAACTAGACGTATTACGGTATTGCAAGGTAGTAATCTGGATAGTCACTTGATACACGCGTTTTCATCATGTCTTCAAATCGAGGAAATACTGATAAGTCATAACTCGAAAAAGTACGCATGATTTATTTCACTCAATATTTATTACTAAAAAGAAATCAAGAAACGTATTTTCATAATTGTAATATAAGACTGTTAAAATATTATTACATAATATTCTTAATATCATAAAATTCGAATTGTTTCAAATTATTTTAAATAAATCTTTCGTTGAAAATGTTATCAAATTCCTGAAATTTTTTCAAAACAAATTTGTAAAGCTTAAAATTATTACTTTATTGAACAATTTTACACCTCATATGTTTTTTAATTTTAAAAGAAAAAAAAAGATGTTTAATATATCTTAATATTAATGCAACCACAACAAAGAGAAAATTTTTATTAAAAAATTTATTTTTTTAAACAAAAAATTATGATAAATTTATTCTTAAAATTAATTTTCATTTATAAAAAAATATTTTGTAAAATCGACTAAAATATCTTTTCGCAGTGGAATTTGTTTTTAATGATGCACAAAATTGCGGTGACCAATAAAAAAATTATTACACATTTCTCCGTTTATTATGCTGTATTATAAAATCTCTTGTATTTAATATGGTTATATTTAACAGCGGGAAAATTAAAAGTTTTATGCTTTCGATCTTTTTATAAATTTATATTCTTTGCCATAATACACGTTTTTCGCGTAGTTTCTCGCGCTTTACAAACCTCAGCGTGGCTTTCGGATGCGGGCTTTAGCACGAACAAATAAAAGTTTGCAATCTGCGTACTTTTGTGCATCTGCACTTTCCCGTAGTTTCAAATAACATTAGTAAAAAAAAGAAAAAAAATTCTATTTGTTGTTGGGATTTGTATCAAGGATTCTTTTTGTATTCTGAAAAAACATTTATTATATAACATTATATACTTAGCAATAATATAATCTGGTTAATATCTTTTTCAACACTCTTTATTTTATTTGAATTTTTATGTCTTATATACTTACATATACTATATATTTAATACTCAATTATTGTTAAAAAAACTGTTTCATAATTCCAAAATTTTTAATTTTTTTTCAAGAGAAAGAATTTTAGAAAAGCTGAAGCACGTTGTACTTTGTAAATTTTCATTCAGTGTTAATTAAAAATTAATTAAAATTAATATTAAATTAGAGAAATGAAATAAAGTGAAATAAAATTTAAAAACAAAAAATATGAGAATTACGAAATTGTAATTTTAATTGAATAATTTACTAGTAATATTGACTTACATTTTTTAATATGTAAAATTTTCGTACTTTTAAGAAACTTTTATATTCAAACTTATTGACAATCGATTTTAAAGATACATTCGTTACTGATGCTCGTTTGTTTGGCAGAGCGAAATAATTGGGGCAAGTGAATCGCTAATTAGGTCACTTCGTGCATAAGTAAGTTCTATGGCTTTGACAGGGAGATTAATTAATTGTTGTCCGCGCACATTTCGGGTCCAGCTTTCAACAAGCTGCAGTTTTTTCTGTCTACAGTTCTTCTGACAAAATTGTAATTACGCTTTACCGAAACGCTTTTGTCTTCCATTGAACTACTTCTCTTAATTCGTCTTATACAAGCCATTAAACTTTGCCGTTAACGACCGGCTGTATTAGCATACGAATGGATTGGAGTTGGTCGACTTGCGATTTCTCTTAATATAAGGCTACGCAATAATTAAGTTTTAACGAGGTAATACCGTTATAAGTACGAGTTTCTGGAATGTTATTAATATATGGCAAAGCTTGTAGCAAATCAGTTTCGCGGGAATTATGGGAAGATTATGGACAGAAGTGCGTATTTGAGTGAAATTTGTAGCGTATAATTCAAAGTTTGCACATATTTGACGGGGAATGCAGTTCTATCAAGTTTCACTTAATACACGGGTATCAGATGTGGGTGAAACCGGAGGTGAAATATGTATTCAAGTGATGCAAAAATTCTCACATAACGCATTTATTATAATATTCCATATTTTAATAGGTTGAATAATTTTAAAATCATATTTCTTCTCATATACGGTGAAACTTTATATTTAATTTGATATCGTGATCCGACTGATTATTAAACTATTAAAATATTTTTATAAAATGTGTAGGAAATTATTATATATATATAAAATATTATATCAGGTTACATATTTTGTCGCAGCACGTTATTTATTCACGGTATTCTTGCATTACATTATCATAATCAAACTCCATTGTCAGTCTGTTACAACGTCATTGATTTTCGATAATGCTTATAAGAAACCGATGGTGGCGTCGCGCGTCGCCTCGGTTTACATAAAAACAAAGTGACTCTTGTAATTAAAAGTGATCATCAATTGCTCCCACGCATCTCAAGTATCATGCGCCTTTACAGGATACAGCATCATCGAGAGCGCGATGTCTCTCTACATCAACTACTTTACTACTTGGTAGCGGTCTATCGAAAAAAAAAAAGTTTGTGTGTGTGTATCTTTTGCAGGTCGGCCAGGCCCTTGCCATGCGATGTCGTTGCAGAGCCCCAGACTTCGACATTACAGGTCGAAACATCAAATCAGATATATGCCTTCTAAAAAAGTTTTCAGTATGTGCTGTATACAATGAGAAAAAAAATATGCGGCTCTCTCGCTCTATAGTAATTTGTATATATATATTATATTATGTAATATATATATATATATATATATATATATATATATATATATACATCTCGAGTTTCTTTATGCATCCACGCTTTTGGAATGACGTTCATCGGCGCTCGCGAAACACGCTGCGGTAACATTTCTAGACCGGAAGCTGATATCGACTTGTGTGATCTCGACGATCTCGAGTTTTGCATACGTTAGAATGAGTTCTTGAGTTTACTCGCTTCTCCTTTGAAACCTGCCTTATTCATATTTAAATCTATGTTAATTCCGAACGACGTAAAGAATTCAATTTTACATATATTAAACATTAAACGGAACGTGTCATTGTCGTGGTAATTTTATATAGCGCGAATGTCTTAAAATTGAGGATAAAAAATAATAATATTGGTTTTTTTATTTTGTATCTATAAGTGTCATGATCATGATTAAATTGATGTTAAATATATTTTTATTTATTTTCTAAATGTGATGCGAGAATGTTTACGATGTTTGTTGCAAGATCTATTTCTGTTCGTTACATATCAATTTGTCGGAAATATTTCGCGTTATTTTCTAAAATTCCACATTCGCGCTAACATAGATTCTGAGATTATTCTCGCGTATCTCTATAAGACGTCGACATGGTCGAGCTTACACAACTGTCGTTTTTAATTATTACACTTGCGTTCTTGTGTCTATTGTACATTGTTAGAGTGTTGTTCTACTTAGCTACGTTTGTATTATCTTGGATATCTCGTTAAGTTCTTTCGATCGTATCTACGAAGTGGGCGAAGTAGACGAAGCGTGGTTTCGTGGCGATAAAGAAGCAGGAAGAGGCTCGCATCTGTATATATCAATACCTCGTGCGCCTCCACCCGCTGTATCTCGAATACCAGAATAGCTTCACGCAAAATCGAGCATGACGATCATCCCTATCGTGAACGCGTTTTTTTCAAGGGCTTACGAGAGAAACCACGACTTCGACAAATTATCACTTTCAAGCGCTCTGTTGGCATGGCCTGGTTTCACGTAACTTTATCGTTGAGAGATGCACCTTCTTCTTCCGTTGAAAGTTCTTCCGTTCCGCTTGCGAGCGGACGTCGCGCTTTCCTTGCCGACTTAAACCAAGACCGCACGCTTCCTCTTTTCCAGGACCATGACAGCGATCTGCTTCGTGTGCAACCTGCCGATCCTAAGTCATCAAGTTGGGCTGATATGGCAGGGTGGCAACGGCTGGGACGACCTCGTGCGAGAGCAAGTGGAGGAGTCCACTCTGAGGCAACGCCTGGGTATGCATAGACACGCTTTTAGCCCGTAACCAGAATTTTTTCGCACGAAAGCACATTATGGAAATTCGTTGGTTTTTCTCATGCAAAAGTGCTTTGAATTCATTTTCATGCGGATTGTAATAGTGGTGTGTGTGATTTGCGAAAATATTAAAGTCAGAAGTTAATGGTATTTATATTGTCATCTACCTTTTTCGAGAGTAAAATGCATTCTTTAAAAAAAAGAAAAAAAGAAAATATATATTGCTAAATAGAAAATTATAACACAAAAGAATGGCGTTTTGAGAATAAAGAAATATAATTGTATGATTAATATATTTCATATTTTCATTTCTCGAGATCTTCAATTTTCTCTATTAGATATACGTAAAATATATATATGCAAAAATAATGTTTCAATATTGACAATCTACTTTAATAAAGCTACAAGAACTCCTATTAAACTCCATTATATTACTGTACATATCGGATTTTTGTAACAACTCAATAATAAGACAGCATTATCTTACAATTTACCGAATAACCATCTCTTCAGTATATAGCGTAATGTATTTGCCCTTAGGAACAGGCAGACGAGATTCCGCGGCACAGATCACGTCAATCTCGCCACCTGGCGAAACTCAAGATTGTTCACCGACGAACCAGCGCCGACGGCGATCGAGTCTCGCTCAATTGACTGATATTCTGCGGGAATGGGGTGGCGGAGGTATTTCTACGAAAAGCAGCCGCGGCAACAAGCTTTGTCGAAGAGAAACCTTGGCGGATATCGCCAAATCGCTACCGTGGTCGCGACAAACTACCACGGACGCCAGCCATTTGGTCAGCCTGCGAAAAAGGCGGGAGAGTTCGGTCGACAGCGGCATCCGGAGCCAAGTGTCCAGCAAGTCCAGACGAGATTCCGCCATCAGTGACCTTAAGAACGATATAGCCAAACTTTGGAGCAAAAAGGATGTATTGCTGCAACCACAGCCGCCGCCCACTGTCATCTCGCCCACGCCACGCCGAGGTAAAGTTTTCAACGAGAGGAAAGTCGCTTTATCAGTCTAAAAATAGCACGTTTACATCTACATTGGAAATCCCGTTTCACGGAGAATGGATCCACTAATTTCGCGAGTCGCGAATACTAAAGTAAATTGGGGATATCTGTGTGGAAATCATGAATTTTATATTAGGAACAAATTAAGTTTCGTTATATCTATATCGGTTCAGAATAATCGAGTTCGGAAAAAGTTTAGAGAAGATGGCATTTTCTTTTAATGGTTATGACGACATAATGTGTAGACTTGTACGGAATTTTTGAATTATTATATTGCATTTCAATTTTAGTAATTTTTATTTTTACGTCAGTGAATCTTATTTTTAAATTAAAAGACAAGAAAGTTTTTGTAATCTATATTAGCAAAGTAATGATTATTCATATCAAATATTTCTCTCAATGTACATATGCACAAAACATAAATTTTCGAACGATGTAAAGAAAACTTATCTTTACGGAAGAAATGCATTTAAATTGCTTAAAGAATTGTATTTTGTTGACTATTTTTATATTGCAGGCTCAGGCGAATCGAGAAATTCTCGCCGCGGTTCGGGAGAGAGCGCGAGGTCTAGGAGGGATTCAGTGATTACGGGACAATCTCAGATACGGGACAGTCCCGGTGATCGTAAGCACAATTGTCGTCATCACAGACGTAGGCAATCTCAACAATCTGTCGATGGAGGTGGTGTCACGCCTACGAAATATTATAGAAATGATCAAAGACCAAGCGCTTCCAGTACAGACAGCGCGGGTAGCAATACAGTTCGGTTAGTTAAATTACAATAAATCAATTAGATCTTAATAAATTTACTTAACAAATATGAGAAATAATTCAACTTTCAGAGTTAATTATTTTCAATATTGATATGTTATAAATTGTATATAAGTAATTTTCACAATTAATTATTTTCAATGATCCGTTAATTGATACGTTACAAGTTGTGTAAATATAGATAAAGGAAATAAAGGTTTTGCTGACATATCTAAAAGTTAAATACAAATCTGAAAATATAATTTTGTTGGATCACATTTAAATTACGTAAATTTAAGTTAATTGCTACAAAAAAAATAGAACTTTCAGCACTGCTCATTATATTTAAAAATTATAATTATATCGAATATAGTTAGAGTCCAGTACTAGTAGTCTAATATAGAAAATCCAATGTAGGTGTCAATCAGACACTGTGTAACACAGTGAATCATCCTTGTTATTTACCTATGTTAAACAAGGATAACATAATTCATTGTTACACAGAGTATTATACAATGTCTGACTATGTTCTTGCTGGAAAACACGTAGTTAGTTGATGGCCCAAAAAATTATTTTCAAATCTGTAGCTAAGCGTTTTTAGATGTTTCAGCAAAATCATTTTTTCTGTGTAATATATTGTACGGTGCTGAATAATAGGACTTGTTTAATCTAAAATTATTTATTCGTGTTTGCATTAATAAAGTATAATATACCTGGCTTATTAATTTTCTTCTATCGCAGAGAACATCTGGAGGCTCAGAGGAACTCCACGGACAAAAGTGAGAGATCGAGTAGCATCGAAGGCAAAACCCAATCAACAGGTTCCACCATGATTGATACAAAGACGGTGATGACGACGTCCTTGATAGTTAATGGGAAAGGGCCGGTTGTCATCACAACGACTACCGATTTGAAGACAATGTCGCTCAACACTTCGCCAGTGATGTCCACCTTATGCCAGACTATGTCGACCTTAACTGTAGACACAAAACCCGTGATTGAAAACAAAATTGGTGTCAGCTTAGACGCATCCGTGAATCCACCGACCATCGTTATGTCCTCGGTAACACCACCGGCGATTTCACCGACGGCCGGAAGCAGCCTTCCGCTCCCTGGGACTTCGACTTCCGGTAGCTCCAGTCCAGTCGGCTCCCCGAATGTCAATAATACACCTACGCATCCGTTACTTTCCACTCGAAGAGACTCGACCACGCAGGTAGCGGTTATCGATAGAGCTCTTTTTTTGTGATAAGGATAGCAATTAAGCAGCTCATACAATGAAACTGTAATATTGTTTTTATTAATATTTCAAAAAGATCTTCCAACTGCCCCTCTCTCTCTTTAATTATTTAATGAAATAATTTTATAATTAGAGATCTTTAATTTCGTTTGAGGATCATTGATTTTATAATGGTCATCGATTCTTTTGACAGTGTAATTTCAAGGGTAAAGAAGTCTCGCCGAGTAAACTGTCGAGGCTAATACGCCAACATGCAGCAATTGATGAATCGATGCCACCCACAGGACGACGTGGTAGCCAACCAACTTTATCGCCAGATCCTGAAGATGGAGGTAGGTACCAACTGTTATAGCAAATTTTTCTACTTTTAAGTTTTTAAAATTTTGATTAAGACTTTTAAATTTTGGCGATTGATATGTTAACATTTAAATCATTTTTTAATTAATGTCTTGCAAAAATTTCTTTTATATATAAATAATGTATGATTGGAAGAAAAGTATTAAAAAAGGACATTTCTATAATTGAATAAATGACAAAATATATTAATCTTGATGTATGTTTGAAGGTCGAAAAGCACGGAGGGACTCTTTAAGCCCGGATTCTGCTTCTTACCTACGACGTCGCGATTCAAAAAGTCATCTGAGTCCTGATAGAAATGTTGATAAGAGAGATATCAGCCCTATCAGACAGAGAAAGAGTCGATTAAGAAGACAGTCCACCTCAATTGCTGGTCGGCCATCACGGTACCTGCATTCTATTGATTTTTTTAACATATATGGTGTAAACAATGCTTCGTTCGATGTACTCTTATTCTATTATCAACACTTCAAATTATTCATTTTGAAATTTGAAAATTTTGAATATTTTATTTTAACGTTGTGTAAGATTTTGTATATTAAAATATTGTTATATATAATTAATTAATATCTTTTATAAAATATTTTTATAAATTTACAATACATCACATATGACATTTTTAGATACTTATATTATTTCAATTTGTTTTTTTATAAATAAGAAAAATTATAACGGGATTAATTTGTAATTAAGAGAGATTTTTCATTTACTTTATAAAGTAATTTACTTTCATTTACTTTTGTCAGATAAAGTTCATTTAAATGGATATAAATTAAATATATGAATTAAAATGGATATAAAAATCCGAACAATAATTTCATAAAAGTTTATAGATGTGCTTGATGTCGTATTACTATAACACGGCAGTGTCTCACGTCATGTTTTAACGAGATACTACCGTGTCTTCAAATTTTGAATTTAAAGCTAGGCAATCGTGTTTCACATCGAATTTTATTACAGTTCGCCGGACAGTTCTTCGTGTTCGTCCAGAGAGCCCAGTCCTTGCGCTCGCGCACCCGGTAATATTCACCATGCGCCGATAATTCGACGGCAATCCACCACGGAGGAGATCCTGATAGCGCGCGGTTTTCGACGGCAGAGTACCACCGAAGAAATGATACGATGCCGTAATTTTAGACGCCAGAGCTCTCAGAGCGACGATACGGTTTGTTCCTTTCGATAATTCACAATAAACTCCATCTTACAATTAGGATAAATGTATTAAAAGAATAAGCATTCAAATTTTTTTTAACAAAGAAAACTTTGTCAGAATTTTTATTAAAAATTTCCAAAGAAAAATATTAATGGATACATTTAATAATTTCTAGTAGTTTTTTTTACTTTAAAAATAAATTTTATAAAGTAACATCAATCTTGAAATACTTGAAAATTAAAAAAATTTTTATAAAATAATATTTTTTAAATATATAT